GGGGGGGGGGGGGGGGGGGGTGGCGAGGCTTGAAAATGACGCCCCTTAATATAGAGAAAATACCATTTAAAAGACAATTTTGGCGTCCCTTGTCCTGTGAAGTACGTGCTGTTTTATCGTTTATCGTCTAAAAAGCTACTTTTTATTTACTATAACAGTTGAACTGTCCTTAGCCAAACTACTCATCGCGCCTCGGGTTTATTATTATTATTTTTATTTTCTATTAATTTTAATTAATTTGTTGGATTTTTTTTACTAATCTCATGGTTGTCTGATATTTAGTTCAAAGTGTTGGCTCCAATTATCCAGAGTCGTGGGCTGAATATCACATAGAAAGCCCAAAATTGGCAACGACAAGTTGCAGTTGCTGGAGGCGTATTTTCAAAGCAGTGGCGTAAGAAGGGGTTGGCTCCGACCCTGGCAGCACCACTGTGTTTCTTTTTCTCTAAATGGAGGATGGGATTTTTGGCCAACCGTATATTTTTTTTTCTTGGAAGAGGAAGCAAAATATCCTTTTGCCTCGGGTGGAACTTACCACAGCCACGTCGCTGCTCAAATGACCTAGACGCCTGATGTGCTAACCACAAGAAGTATTCAATGTGAAAGATTTTCACGGGGTCTGTTGGTTCTCGGCGCTAGAGTCTAGGGGTGTCAAACCCGTTTTTTTTTTTTTTTTTTTTGTTTTGGCAAACCGGTTTTCGGTTTTAGCCTTCAGGGCTAAAGTCCTACAGGATCCCACGGGAACAGCCTTTCTGTACTTTTTTTTTGCTTAGTAAATAAATAGCAAACACAGTGACTTAAATATACAATGTATGGGAAACTGAGGTTGTGCTAATGTGTTCATATCTATCGCATACACATTGACTTAAATATACAAGGTATAGGAAACTGAGGTTGTGCTAATGTGTTCATATCTATCGCATACACATTGACTTAAATATACAAGGTATAGGAAACTGAGGTTGTGCTAATGTGTTCATATCTATCGCACAGTAACGAACTTGCAATGACAAGACCACCACTTTTAAACAATACAATACAGCATATTTTTTAAAAAGGTATTTATTAAATAAAATATAATAATACATTTAACTATTGGTTTATTATTATTATTATTATTATTATTATTATTATTATTATTATTATTATTATAATCTTGATTTAAACAAAAATTATATCATGTTAAAAAAAATCAAAAATCAGATTTAGGGTTTCAAAACCAGATGACCTGTTTTCGTTTGACACACTTACTAGATTCGTATTCAAACTGCGTCTTTCTTCGCTCTTTAAAACAGCGTTTGGTGCAATATCCCTTGCGGTGATAATTGCTCTCGCAACTTTCTTAATCTGTTTTTGTTTGTTTGTTTTTTGTTGTTGTTATTTTTTATTTTATTTTTTTGTTGAAAATATGGACTAGACCTTGGACATGTGTAAATACTACATAAAGTTGTACAGTCGAGGTCACGACGCGATCGGCCTTTGCTTTGAGGGATAGTATGGGAACCGGACAAACTAACCATTTGTTGTAACTAGTACAGCTGCTGTTAACTGTGTTGACTGGAAATTACGAGCTAGGGATATGCAACGGCCTGGCTAAATTAATAATATACCGAGATTAACGGGTTGCAGTTGGTTTTTTTTTTGGTTTTTTTACACCGGGTCCGGGTATCTTGAGTTACATGGGTCCAAGTGTTGCTGAAAAAGAGTTTACTTCTCCTTTTCTATGATATAGGCTAGCCTTTAAACTTTAAACAATAGGCCAACAGACAGTCCTACACCCGACCTGCCGGCCTTTAAACAATAGGCCTACAGACAGTCCTACACCCTACCTGCCGGCCTTTAAACAATAGGCTTGCAGGCAGTCCTAAACCATACCCGTGGCCCTTTATTGATTAATATAACAGTCGCCTTCCCCTAAAGATATAAAATTTCAAACTTTTTTTGTCAGGAATTCAGACGTCACTCACGAAGGCTCGCTGCGTAAAAGCTATTTTTTTAAATTTTTTTTTTTTACATAATACTGATAATATAAAACATGGGAAATAGGGGGGGGGGGAGCGGTTGTGAAGAGGAAAAACGATGAAACAGGGAAAACTTTGAATAAAAGATAAAATAACAATTATAAA